ATTTTCTGACGTTTCGCAAGCACGAGTGACTTGCATCCTCAGAGGTGGTTTGCTTGAGAGCTTACACTGTACTGACTCCGTTTCTCGGGTGAAGTCCGTATTTATGCTCCGGTAGTGATGACGTGGCTTGTGTCATCTGCATCGGCGCATTATGTTGTTTGTCGTTATGCTCCCGTGTAGTGGATTATTCTTCATGTCCTGTTCCGTTTCCTTTTCTTGCTGGCTTTGCGTTGGTAAGCGCCGGAAACCATATCCGGTTTAACGCCATTGTCTCTTCTTTCCTGTTGAAGTTGTCGCTGTTTTTTTGTTGTGAGAATTTCAACGGCTTCTCGTATTAGTCGGGGGCGATACCCTGTTGTTGTGGCCAGAAGTTGAGTTCTGGGTTTGAGCCAGAATTGCAAATTTAATACTGTGTGCTCCCTCTCTGAGGGCATGTTGCGCTGGCGACTTTTCCACATATCCCAATTTGCCATTTCGTCGATCTCCTTCGATCCTTGTCTAAACCAGTCTCTTAGTGGTTCTTATGTAGACGCTTTCACAGGTCTTCTGTTCTTAACCGACCTTAGATCTTCGTTATGGGCTTTGTTATAAATTCTTATTTTTCCTCTCGGGCGTGAGTATGAGCGGGAGCTAGTATTTCGCGGCTAGCGTGAAAGATTTTCGAACGATCGATGGACGACACAAAATCACGCACACTCAAGTTCCACGGAACAACTGATATATTAGAATAAAATCAATGATCTTACAATAGATAACTTTGAACATAACCTTGATGATAATTAGTTGAAGGAGAGAAAAAATAGAACTGAGTTGTGTAGGAGAAAAGCTGGTGTAGGGGAAAGCTCCTGAAAAAGGGGACCGTCTGGAGTGATCACTTCAGTAGGGAACCTCTCAGCTCTTCCAATGAATAGCGGTTGTTGATATGTGAACAAAAAAAGATCCACAGTCAAAGGGGCACCAAAATACTAACGGAAATTACCCAAGCTCGGCTCCAATCAAATTTAAAATAGTAATAGAAAAAAAACTTAAGGAGGTGGCAGTTGAACCTAAGTGTTTCCGCTACAAATTAAAATTAATTAACTGAACAACACTCAATGCAGGATGAACCTTAACTGAATACAATTTGTGATTAAAAAAAAACTTGAAATGAAGTCACTAGAAAACAAAAACAATACGATTGTCACAAGCAGTTGGGCGCCAGTATGTTGTTTCAGTAACATACAACTCGTTTTTAATCGGAGGTCTCGATCTCAAACTTCAACCACCATTGGTAGTCTCAAGACCAAAATACACAGGAGCTCTGTAGCACGGTAACTACGTGGTCCTGCGTGGAATTAGCTTGTCTTCAATGGAAAGCTCTCCAGGAATAATCTCGATATATAATTCACAAAAATGTACAAAAGAACCGACCATGCGGTGCGAATACCCCAAAAATTGACTTCTCTCGTCTATATCTCGACCTCGAATCTGAATTTGTCCGACACCAAAAATCCTCTCTTCTTTTTCACGGTAAATCAAAATCATGGACTCGATTGGTCATCCTGACGAACATGTGATCAGCTCGCTATGTGGTCGATAATTTTTGTACCGAGATAAGGCTGGTAAAACCTTCTCGGTTTTCGGTTTTAATGGCAAATTCGAACTCCTTGACAAAACAATTATATTCAAGGCGCATTCGCTTGGCTACAATTAAAAATGAACGTAACAGCTTGTAGATTCTTTTTATGTTATGCCTTCCTAGGTTCTTCCCAATTCTGTCCGTAACTCTAGGAATGAAAGGCAGAAAGGGCACTTAAGTGGTTTTACTCTTTTCTGCACGGTTCACCCCCTACTACTCTTTTGATGTCAATATGAGAGTATCCGTTTTTAATCAAAAACCCTTTTCAAATGTTGTAGTTCCGCTGTTAGGTGTTGTAGCCCACATTTTCCTGGCTCTACCCGTGAGAGTATTGACGATTCCTTGCTTTTGACTCGGGTGATGTTTGGATAGCTTGTGGAGATATCTGTCCGTGTGGGTGACTTTTCGATCTACCTGATGGTCCAATAAGTATAGGATACTTTCGAAGCACATTCAGGCGAACTGCAGAAAGGACAAAAATGATCATCTCAATAATATCTGCAAATAAGATTGAGAACTACTTGCAAATACCACACAGCCGAAAGATGCGTTTGCGAAGATAAAATACATACCCCGCAAATTCCAGCCCCGCACCTGGGCGATCTGCAACCCAACGGCAACCTAAAAACAGACATAGATGAGGTCACAGAAGTCTGGAGGAAATACTGTGAGGATCCCTACAGGGACGAACATATTAAAGGAGGTACACGCGGCCATCAGGAGACTTGCAAAGGATAAGTTCCCTGGAGTTGATATGGTTACTGTGGATATTCAAAAAACACTGAGCGATGAAGGAATACAAGTAATACACTTGATCTGCCAAACAATATGAATAACAGTGTGAGTGTCGCCCAACGAAAGGACAACCTCAATTATTATTTCCCTGCACAAAAAAGGGGCAACATCCAATTGCGGTAACTACCGTCTTATCGCTCTTATGCCCCATGTAAGCAAAGTCATGCTCCACATTATAAATTCTAGACTACAGGCTTTCGCTGCTTCGCAAATTGCTCCTGATCAGGCTGGGTTTCTTAAGGGACGTGGCACAAGAGAGCAGATACTGAACTTGCGCCAACTGATAGAGAAGGCTAGGGAATATTACACGCCCATGAATACCTGCGTGGTTGACTATGTGAAGGCTTTTGATAGGGTTAAATGGCAGAAATTGTGGCCAATCCTCATAGAAATGGGAGTGCCAAAGCATATCGTCCTTCTGATTAGGGGTTTGTAGGAAGAAAGCACCGCTGTGGTCAGAGTCGATATACATCTATCGGCCGCATGTAAAATAAGGAAAGGTGTAAGGCAGGGTTGCGTATTTTCACCACTATTGTTTAGCCTATACAGCGAGAGTATCATGCGCTACGTATTGGATGACTGGGACGGAGGAGTAACAATAAGCGGGAAGAAAATCTCCAATCTCCGATTCGCGGATGACACACTGCTACTGGCGCGCAGCGAAGATGAACTCTGAGTTTAGAGAACTGAGCGCGTGAGTCTGGAGTGTGGTCTTCGAATAAACATCTAGAAGACGAAAGCGATGATTGTTGACCTCTCAAATGATGACTGGCCAAATATCCTTAAGGTCGGGAAATATTATGTCGTCGAGCAGTTTATATACCTGGGTGCCATTACTAATAGCAAGGGATGCCGTGAACCCGAAATAAGGTATGGAAGAATAGCAACATAACACGTAACACGAAGATCAACCTGGTCCATGCGCTGATCTTTTCTGTATTTGCGGCGGAGACACGGACACTGCGTGCTGCTGATTCGTTCGAAATGTTGTGGTGGAGGAAAATGTTTGGAATACCCTGGACTGCACGACGTACCAATATCTCTTTTCTTAACGACATCAAACCCAAACAGGTAATCGCAAGTCTGATTTACTCTGATCTGATCGCATATTGAAGTTTTTCGAACATACAGGGTGATTCAAAATTGGCGTCATTCCTCTGGAGGTGTTTGGCGCTGTTATAGGAGTACAAAGAAAATAGTAAAATACATTAATTGTTAAAATACATTAAT